GACCAAGTTTTACTTAAATGGGGAATGCGCGCCAACTGTGGAAACGACTAATGCCGCAATGACAAGTTTTCATACTTTTACCTTTGCCGTCTTTTCCACTTTTCACTTCGTTCTGGGTTGACGGATGCATCGGAAATTGAGGCAAAGGAAACTAGACGGAAACGGAAGTGAAATACCGACGAGCGTGACACTTTTAAGTCTTAACTGTTTCTATTTAATCATTAAATGGAATTCTATAAGCAGTGCAGAAACTTAAATTAAAATTGAGTAAATCGTAACAGTTTCCAGTGATAAATGGTTTTACAATACCGTAAAAATATTTTGTCATTAATTGCATTGGTTTTTTATTATTCATCGTCTGATATAGTGGTTTATTCTTTGAATTAATTATATTTTAATTTAGTTTTTGTGCACAAATTCCAATTTTTAATAATTTAAAATGTTTAATTAACATAAAAATTTATAGTAATTTTGTATCTAGTTTTTCTGATAGTCTGATGTTCTAGACAGCTAAAAAAATTGAAATAATCCCATATTTTTCTAAGCGCATCCACGGTTCTTTGTAGAATGTTAGCTAGTTTGTTTGTTTGATTTTTGTGTATCCATTTCCAGCTGGGCCCAGCGGAGACCGGCGAAGGCGGGCGCATTTCATATTTAATTAAAATTGAGGCACCCACAGACACCCGCAAAAACAAATAGACACACATGCAAACACACATGCAAACACACGGGCACGCATCCACCAACACTTGTGCATAATACAAGACCATTTAAATAATGGGTACAAAAAAGGGGGCGTGACGGGGTGGGGGCATGGCGGCGACGTCGTCTGGAAAATGGTAATAATAAAAACGCTGGGCAAATATTTAAAATATTCGGAATGCCGCATTAATGAGCTTTTATTTTGACGGCGATAAGCGCAGCACACACACTTAGTTGGGAACAAATTATGGCTAATTCGCGATTGCTTTATGCTAAACAGATGCGGGCGTCGAAAAAGAGGAATATATTGTGGTGGCGCAAAATCAAAACAGAAGAAAGGCGGCATCGCCACGCCCCCTCCCCCGAGTTCCGCCCACATCTGCTGGCCAGGCAGGCGTGGCAATTAAAGCGCGTGACGAAAACATTCCGCTGCCACGCCCATGAATATTTTGCCAGCCAGATGAGGATCCTCCATTATGTGCAGACAGAAAAAAAATATATTTTAAAATAACGACAGAAAAATATTCTTCAAATTAATTTTATTGTTTTTATTTCAGTAGAAAACCCGTAAATCAAAGCTTGTTCTTAGAAAATTAAAAAAAATTTTTATATTTTAAGAACATCTGTTTTATATTAATAAAAATAATTATTACGTTTAATGGAAAATCTTTTCACTTCTTTAGTTAAATACCAAATACATGAACTTATTTTTTTTTAATTTGTTTTAGTTAGTTTTAAGAAGACATTCTGTTTTTCCCACATGTTGATAACAAAAAGCAATAGCTGTGTGGAAAATTGGGACTAATTAAATTGGCAAAGAATTTAGTTGTTCAACCAATTAATATTTTAAATTGAAATCAATTAAAAATTTAAATTAAATCAATCATTTTTAAAATTTTTTCAACTGTTTTTACAACGCTAGCTGACGGCATTTGTTAATAATTATATTTCTATCAACTTCTCGGTTCGTTTTCTGTGCTGCCAGCTGCTTTTCGCTGCTCTCCGCATATTTCTCTTTGTTTTCGTTGCCATAATTCATTTCGCGCTTTTCTCGAGGCAGTGAAAAGTGCGGGGAAAAACCTAGGAAATGCGAAGAATGCAAAAAAAACATTGTGTAAAAGCCAGGATCGAGTGTGCATTTCCCGAGGTAAGTGTGGGTGTCTGGGTGTGCTGGTCGTCCTTATTAAGTGGTTCGAGTGCTGATTTATAGCACTTTACCCTCCCGTCACGACAGTTATCCTGTCAGTTTTAAGTGAAGGACAGGACACTGGCACTCTGTTCTTCGTTTGGCGGCTGCCACACCCAGAACATTCGGTTAAAGTTTTAAGCGCTCACTTTGCATCTAAAGTGTGTTTGGCAGATGAATGTTTTGCACGCGCATTACTTATACGCCAGGTTGGCGCAGTACCATTACCACCTGCCAAAGGGAAACAGCCAACAAAAACAAACCGCACTTTACCTAATTGAACCCGGCACAAAAAAATAAAAGGGTCGCTGATTAATTTAGCAGGCAATTGCGAGGGAATACAATTTAATGTTTTAACTTTACGATCAAGTTACCCTTTTTTGTAGAATATCATTTGAGTCTTTTGCCCCGTTGAAAGTGGGTTTTGAAGGGTGTATCTCCAAGTCTTTCTTTTATATTAACTAACTAGCTTTCAACATTTTTATTTTTATTTTGGTGGAGGTTTTTAAATGATTTTATTTAACTCCATTCAAAAAAGTGGGGTAAATGTACACATCCAGTTTTTATTTAAATACCAAACTGTGATTAGATACAATATCTTAATCTAGCTTCTTTGGCAAAGATATAAACAATATCTGATATTTAAAGCAAATTTAAACAATTATTCAATTTAATTCAGTTTATATTTCCAAATTGCTGAAAGAAAATTAAACCACTTTTCACAGATTTCTTAGAGCTTTTAGTATTATATTATCCACTTCGCAAATACAACTAGAAACATGAGTAATTCGTTCCAATTCAGTGAAAACGGTTTAGAAGTGGAATTTATTTCTTTGCTGAAATAATCTGGCATAAGCTCAACTATATATTGGTTTTAAATTATTGCTCATAATTCTCACATTTCCTTTCAAATTCGTTCTTGTCAGTTTATAACTCTTTGTCTTTCTGTCTAAATCGTTTTCTTTTTTTTTGGCAAGTAGCAAAATTGACTTGAACTAGATTTTCTCAATTCGGATTTTCCACAAATGTTTACAGTAGCACTCAGAATATCTTTCGCGGCCCATTTGTAGAACAAAGAATGAAACGGATGCAATAAAAAGGTGCCAACTCTGGGGCAAATTAATATATTTACCGACCTATGGATTGCCTCAACAGACGCATTAAACTGACTGTAAAATTGACTTACGGACATTACGAAAGTCTGCCATTCGCTGTCGGATTTTCTTTGACCCAAATAGGATTTTTCCTGCTGATGGAAATGGATATGGTACTGGTCAAGTGCAACAGCGGCGGCACTTGCCCATAAACATTTTATAGTTTCCATAAATATAAAATTTGAGAGCCATTAAAATCGGGCAGAAACATGCAAACGCGTTCTGCATTTGTTTGTTGCCCTTCTTTGCAATTCATTGTTTTTGTTTTCTCTCGAGTTTTATGTCTTTCGAATTATGTGAGCGAGCAGGATTTGGGATGTGTGTACATACGATTTGCTGCAGCAAATATAAACAAGTTTTTATGTTTATATAGAGCTCAAAGACAGCATCAGCGAAAACCAAATTACGTATACGCCATGAAGAAAATGAAACATTTTGAAGGCGGTGCTAATTCACATTCTTAAGTTTCGAAAAATCTCAATGAAAAATGTTTTTAAATTGCATTTCTCACTTTGCTAATGCTTTTTAAGCTTCTTGTTAAATCGATTATGAAAAACGTATTACAATCATCTTTTTATGTTAGAAAATCTTTTCCGCCTAACAAATGTTTGTTTCTATTGGCTTAACATAACTTTGTTTTGACATTTTGCTGCTATTTCTGACTTGTCTCTTATTGATTTAGCTTGATTACTTCACTGGCACAAATTTACTGGTAAACAAAAATGAAAGGAAATTGATTTCTAGGTACTTAATGTTATTGATGGCGAAAAGCAAAGTATTTTGATGCTTTAAACAAAGTATTCTTCGATCAAAGAGATTTATTTTACTCTTTGTAATCGATTCAATTTGTATTTACTGTGAGTAAATTACAGTTCAATCAAAAATTGTCATTACATTAAGTATTAATGTAGTAACAAATATTCTATCTTTCTGTTGGAAATACAAGCATTTTAGTTTTTTTTAATATCAACCTAATTACCTCACCTTAACTAAGTTACTGACAACCAAAATTACATTAAATGGGCTTACAATATAAAAATGTATTGTCATAAGCAGAAAAATCCTCAATCAAAGTCTAATTATTTTTATATAAATGTTGGTATATTTACTTTATTCCATAAACTTTATTGAACGTCTGCTTAGATGTCTGTTATCTATTCTGCTCGTTTTCTGTCCAATCGTACTCCTAAATGAACTGGCGATTAATTATTTGCCAATTTACCCTCATCAACTTCTTGCCCACGCCTCCAATTAGAAGGAAGCGAGTGCTCAGCATGAGGCCAAAAGCCCACTCCTTTTATTTCATAGAGCACACATGGCGTTTGGGAAAACCTCGACGTTTTTGGGGAATCATCAGACGTTAAACTCTTTATGAAAATGTTAAATAATGAACTTGGCGAATCGTAAAGAATTGTGAACGCCCATATACATTAATGCTTATGTACGCCAGAGTTTGGGTAATTTTTTAATAAGTATTCAACGCTTCTTCGGGCACATTTTCCAGGAATTTACCTGAGTGTGTGCGTGCGTCGTAAACATTTTTATTGGCCATTTTCAACATGAGAAGCAATGAAAGGATATGCCCAGGCAGGTCGGAAAATGCTTTATGATGGTGGCAAGACAGAGACGGAGAGGCAGAGGCAACTGAGACAGAAACAAAAATGCCACATTTTCATTTCCATTTTCGTTCTCGCTTTCATTTTTGTTGTTTGTCATGGGCCATTCAATTATCTTAATATTACGCATACGCCGCATGGGCTGCCAAACAGTTGGCGCAGAGGCAAGGCGAAATACGGTGAAGGGTGGATCTGAATGGCGAATCATTGCCCAAAAGGGGAGAAACTAATTACCGTCGGCCAAATAAACAAGACTCTCGAGCATTTCGGCATGAATGCGTTTATTGATCCCGAAATGCGGTCTAAATGAGTCTGGGATTGCGGCTGATTCGTGGTCCTTACCTTCTGGCTATTGTCCTGCGTGGTCCAGTATCCCTTATTCCATCATTGTTTGCCTCAACTGATTGATTCACAATTTATTCTCACTTTTTCATTTGCACTTTGGGTTTTGCGTTTGGCTTGCTCTAAATTCAATAAACAAAATCGTTGAGGTTTAAAAACAGGGACATTCGGCGTTCTGTTTTGGCTCTGGCTTTAGTTGGGCATCTCTCATTTACATTTTATGCATATTTTAATTGCTCCCAGATACAGAAAGACAAGGAAAAGTAGAAAACGCCCTCGGAATCCGCACAGGCGGAAGCCAACAATGAACAATGAACAGGAGGTCCTGGGGCTGGGATCCAGCTGTGGTTATTGCACTTGGCACAATTTCTCTTTTTTTTTTTCATTCTTTGTCTTCTTTTAATTGAAAATTAGAGCGAAGCCGGTACTGTCCCGGACAGGATTTGCATTGCCCCACCCAATCCCCAAGCCGCTTTGTTTATTAAACTTCAATTAGGCAAGTTTTTCCAATTAAAATTTGCCCGCTGCAATTTTAAGGGTTTCTTACTGGCCGGGAAAACTTTTCGAGTGGTGGGTTTAATTGGTTTTTTTTTTAGAACCCCTTTTGCTGGGTGCATTGTTCCCATATCAATCTCAGTCAGCGAAGGGAAGCCAAGCGGAGACATTGATAAATGTAAAGGGGAACCGAAACGTGAAGCCCGTCGGAAATCGCAATGCCATTTAGACAATATATTCCGCACGTTTAAGGAAAGAAAGGGGATTTGTCTTCTTTATTCAAAGAAATAAAGCTCATTCTTTAGTAATCTAAATAAAACTTAATCACTTCGTATCTGCTTTTTTAAATAATCAAGCTTTTAATGTTTAATCCTTGCTCAAAATCTCTGTTTAACAAAGAATAGATTCTTCTTTTTCGGTGTTTAAATAAATGTCAAAAAAAATTTTTTTAAAACTTGACATTCTTGCGATTCGTTTTGTTTAAATAAAAAGAAATTAGGCTTTCTAAGATTCTTCTTTTTCGGTGTTAAAATAAATGTCAAAAAATGTTTTCAAAAACTAGACATTCTTTCGATTCTTTTGGTTTAAATATAGTATATTCTTTGGAAGTTGTGTTGTAAGATTTATCTGGTAGATGATCGATCAACAATTATAAGAATTGATCACTTCCTATCATAAACAATCGTTTCCTGAATATTTCTTTGTATATTTCTTCCTGTCTTAAATTAACGAAGAAAACCTGCAGATGTGGAATTACCAGACTATTAAAATAAAAGAAACAGCCATATCCAATCATTAATAGGAAAAGAATTTGTAAATTTGTAAAGATTATCCCAAAAAGTTTTACTTATGAGGTTTATCTTATCATCATAACCCAACAATTAAAAGATTATCTTAAAAGAGTTAAATACTAACTGTTATGATTGTGCAGGTCGGGGAAATGCAACGCCGTTGGGGCAACGTGTATAATTAGGGGAATGTCGCACCTGCTCCAGGGACAGGGGGGGAAGGGGGGCGAAGGGGGGCGAAGGGGGACTGGAATCGGCGGATATAAATATAAACAACTACCCCGTTGCCGTTCTAATACCAAGGCCCAAACTCCGCTAGCTGTGTGCGTGTGTATCTGTGTGCTGGGTATTTCACTTATTTACACTTCACTTCGGCTGCTGATTCTGCTGCCGCTGCTCACTTGTTCGCGCCCGTTTTCAAAGTTTCACCCAGCTTTCCTTTCCCATATATTTGTTGTTTTTGCTGTTGATTGTTTGGTTTGCCACGTCCGCTTTTTCCGCTGCGAGCACCAAACGCTTTGAACTTCGACGAGGAACTGAGCGCACTGGAGCAGCTCGGAAAAGCCGAAAGCTTTCGGCCCAGAAACGAAATGGGAAATTGGCACAGAGAGCCAGTGAGGAAAGGAGCACAAGCTCGTGGCGCTGTTGCTGCATTGTTTTCCTCGATGAAGTGGGCAAAACCAGTGGGTGGGTGGCACAAAACACTTGTGGCTCAAAAGCAGCAGCAGGCTTCCATGTTGCCGGCAATTGGGCAACATGGCCCAAATGTTGCGACGGCCATTAATCGTGTTGCCATCGCGGCCGAAAGATGAGTGCACTTTCCCGCACACACACACACACACAAAACTACCGGCACTTTTGGGTCAATTAATATCGACCGAGCCAGTGTAAACACTTTTTGGCCTTTGGCCATCTGCTTATGGCCAAAACTGGCGGACGATAAGATAAACAACTATTCGTGTTGCTACCGCATGTTGCCACAACTGCTGAATGGGGTTTTTGTTTTGTGTCCGATTCCGTTTTCGGATTTAGATTCGGAGGCTCAAATGCTCGACTGCTCGCTTTTCTCGGATTTTCGTTTCCCGGGCAGAAACCGGAGGATTCGTCGGATGCGGCGAGCTTTTGGAGCCTGCGGCCCTAGTTCCACTTCCACTCCGTTTCTTGATGTGGCCAAAATATCAAGACCCCCCTCCACCCCCTCCCCTCCCCTGCAATTTATGCGAGCCTCTTTGGCGCCCGACGAGGTGACAATTCCATTTAAGAATTGCGGGCATAGCTTTGTTATTGCTCATGACCATTCTAGCCAGCCATTCCGGCTAACAATGGAAATAGTTATTGCTTCGTTGCCGCTATAGACTATTTAGAGCTGTGCGATAAGTTTGTACTTATCTGATAGTTATTTATAGTTATCCTTAGTTATATTTAGAAAAGATTGTCTAACTGATTAAATATTACAATATACATAAATTCAATGATGCTTCGAACCACTTTGTCTTTTAAATAAACTAATTACAATTACTAGTTTTGTTAGAACTATACTAGTTTTGTAAATTTCTATAGGTATGATAAAATTTTAAAATTTTCCATTTAAAAACATTAAAATACAATTTGAAACTAAGAAGTGGCAACAAAATATATATTATAAGAGCTAATAGTTAGTTTTGAAATTTGGTAATTACAAAATAAGCCTTGATTAGAATATTTATCAAAGAACAATTTAATTTTATATATGTTTTAAGCACAAATATGTAAATTTCTGTGGGTATAAGAAAATTTATGAAAATACTTTTTGAAAATAAGAAGTGACAAACAAAGTATATATTATAAAATGTTCTCTTCCTAATGCTAGGGAGGTTTTAAAATTCTAATTAAATGCTTAAACATTTTTTCGAGAGCTAATAGTTGCTTCTGAAATGTGGTAATCACAAAATAAGCCTTGATTGGAATATTTTATCAAACTTTTTACATTTTAACTTCAACTAAAATGATTAAAACTTTTTTTTTGAGATCTAAAAGTTTCTTTGGAAATGTGGTAATCACAAAATAAGCCTTGATTAGAACATTTTATCAAACTTGTTACATTAACGTAGCCCCTTAGATTTATGGGTCGTTAACGGGTACAGTTTATTTAATGATACCCAAGACAAACTCTAACTGTAATTAAATAGTTAAAGTAATGAATGGCCGTTTTCGAGAGTTTACATAGACATTAACATAAAGGTCTTTATTATCGGGTCTGCAAAGTAGATGCTGCGCAGTCCGAGGGCAATGAACTTTTGTTTTTCGCTGGTTGGGAGGTTCGCAGGAGCAAAGGAGCAAGAAGCACGGAGCTTTGGTGGCTCAGGTGTCGGGTGTTCCGTCTGCTGCAAATTAAGTGCGATTAGTCAGCCAACGGGTTGTCAGTGCCCGGGGCATTAGCATCCCGGGGTCTGCTCTCTGCCACCCCGGACAAAATCAATTTCTATAGTTAATAAGCCCACCGCCTGCTGTGGATCAAGCTGCGTGCTCTTTTCCCATTTTCCCAAAGGCCAGAAGGCAGAAGGATGTGGGTGTCCTGGCAGCATTGTTTGTAATTAAATGGATGTGTTCGGTGGTCCTGCGGCGCATTGTGTCGCCTAATGCACTGGCTACCCCGCTGATGTTGCATAAATTAATTGATTTATCAAGTGCACGCCGGCTTCTTCTTAATTAGCATTTTGCTGCTTCTGGTGGCTCACGTTGCGTATACGTAATTAATACATATTTACCCCGTTAATTAGTGGGCATGTACACACGCACCCAAATGCCCACTGCTGACACATTAGATAATGGGCCACACGTGGCCGGGCTCCTTTTAAGGATTTATGGCCAAAAGGGTCCTGGTCGAGAGCTGCTGGCGAAGGCACCTCGTACCTGGTTAACGACCCATAAATCTAAACACTCTCGCCACGGCACATAAATTGCCCCCAATTCAACGCAATAAAATAATATATGTCTAGATAATGCATTCGCAGAGGCAAAAAATCAATTTTTCGCCATGTTCTAAAATTATGTACAAGCTTGCGATTTTCAAATAGCTAACCCACATTGTGGCACTCCCGCAAACATTTATTTTAGTTCAGCCACAGCACATTTTGGCCAAAGTGCAAACTGGTTAACTGACTGACAGCAACTGCTGTCAAACTTCCAACTAAATTCTATTCCTGCGGTTGCCAATTGAAATGTTTTTCGCATTGAATTGTTTGGAAAGTGCTAATGGGATTAAGCAGATCCTGAATGTGGATGGGGATGATAATGAGCTCTTAGATCTGACTTTTGTGATTAAATGAAAATAAGTGAGTATTGTTAAAGCTTATTTAATAGCATTAAATGAGTGGGAACAACGCTTAATTAGATTGTGAGTTATTGGTTGTGGTATAAACAATAATTCATCTAAGCATTTGTGACATTAAGCATTTACACATTATTTTAATTCTTAACTTCACCATATGTGGTTAGTCGATTAATTAAAAAATAAATTGAGTAAACCGAAATGATGGCTCCAAAATCATGTGTTTTATGCATTGAGAGGTTATTTATGTTATATGCTAAATAAATATGTAAAAATTGTTTGCGGCTATATTGCAATTACGATGTGGTGGGAAAAAATTATAACTATGAAGAAAAATCTGAATTTAACCAAACCGTAAATTGAATTAAGTCTAATAAATACTTTTAAGGAATAGCGATTAGAACGTTTAAAATATAACAATTAACATTTTACCAATCTATAAAATCAGAGTGTGACTTTAAGTTGTTTAAATTGGTTATTTATGCATATGAATATGGCCAATTTGTAAATTCAAGTTAAAATCGAACGTTTAGCTGAGCTCAAAACGCTGGTAGATTATTTATTTCCCTTGCAGCAAAAGGCAAACCAAAAGGTCAAAAATACGAATATCTAGCGCAACTGTTGATTTACGTTTTTTTTTTTGTATACACATCTGTATGGATGGTCATAAAACAGTGATACAGCATCTCTGCCTGTCACTTTGATGATGCATTGAATGGCCAAAAGGCTTAGAAAAAAGTGATGCGAGGGGGTCGGAATACATGGCCAAAAACATGGGCTGTTTGCCGGCTACCACCTGTTTGGCTTACGGCGCTAATCCATCAATGGCAACAAGGCAGAAAGTGCCAACAGCAGCTTCGAGTGCTTCAGCCCAAAGCAAACACGAACGCAAAAAATAAACCCAATAAAATTCCCAATGCCCTTGTTTAGAACAACAACAGGAACAAGAAGGAGCCATCGGCTCCATTAAAATACATATTCGAAAAGCCCTAAAAATCCATTCATTCAGGTGGGTCGTAAAAGCGCGAATGGCCGCAATCCACCACCCACTCAGCCACCCACCCACACATCCACCCACCCACACGACCAGGGGAAATGGCCCCCCATCATTCATCCATTGGGGATGTAGATTCTGCCGCTCTCTGTAATATTCTGCAATCGAAGTTGCTTTTTCTTTTATTCTACTCCCATACCTTCCCCGCCTTATGTGTTCCGTTTTATTTATGCTCGTGTTTTTACAGTTCAATAAAGTTCAATAAATTCAGCGACTTGCAAGTGGATTTCCCTGATAAACGCAGACGGATCAAACAAATTAAAGTCCTAAGCCTGTGAGGCATACCGTCGCATCCGAGAGATGCAAAAACAGATGCTAGCGACTAGCTTATCGGGATGCTGAGTCCTGGATCCGACAGTGTCAGCGGGCAGAAGGTCAAAGGAGCGTGTCGACTGGCATTGATGGACGATGGCGGGGGTCGGGGATGGGGAACACATGCCAAGGTCATCCCAGCCGACATGTAATCGCTTTCCTGTCGTTCTATATTGTTGGACGGTGGCTTTCCGAATTTAAACATCATAAAACGAGATTCATAAGCACAGTTGATGGGCCTTAAATGTCTTAAATCTGATATATGCAATTTGTGAATATGTTTTTCAACTAGCTTACAAAATTTCATGTCTAATTCATAGCTAATCCTTTAATGCTGAAAACTTATTTTATTGAATGGTATTTTTAAAAACTTGCAAAGCTCTGGGGTACATATATGAAAAGTATAATAGAATAATATTTATTTAAAAATAGTTATTAATTATAAATATCCAATTTAATATTTAGCTTAGATTTGTGGTAATCTAAAGTAAGGTATTTTCTTTATATGACTTAGTACTGTGTAGTTAATGGTTCTTATTTATTTTTCAGGGCATTTTCAATACTAATTTCGCCAGTCATCAATCAATTATTGTTGAGTGTGAATTTGATATTTCAAATTCCGTTTACATCAAAAGACGCAATCTGAATTCCAACTATTTGGTTGACTCAACTCAACCAAAGCGGCATTCGATTTGCAGGGACAACTCAAAGGACCTCTCTTTCTCCTTATCCTGGGGCTGCATGTCATTGTCATTGTCGGCAATCGATTAAGGTTTTTTTAGGGGGCTGCCCTTCATTTGACTTGTCTGCCCGTTTCGTTTCATATCTTTATCTAAATAATGGGGTGTCACTTTTAATTTGAGCGTCGATTTATATGCCTAGTCACTGGACTAACCTCAGTCCCTGAATAACTGCTGCTTGAATTTCCAAATAAAAAAAAGCAAAATGACAAAAAGAGACAAAAGCTGCTGGAAAATCCTAAGAAATTTGGACATCTTCATTGTGCTTATCAGATTCGGTGGAGTACACACACTCTTGTGTCTTAAACTTTCCAGTAGGGATACTGTGGATACTCCCACTCGTTCATTGTTTGTTTTAGAGGGACAATTAGCCGAGTAGTCCCCACAATTTAATTGTTATAAATGCCAAGGCTGAATGCGAATTAAGTAATATTTATGGAAGGCAGTGAAAGGATATCAGGATAACACCCGGAAACTCTTCCCACGCGTCGAAGGATCATTAATAACAGTGGATTTTGCACTCGAACAGCTGACTCTGTGGCACCGCGTGGGAGTCATTCTCTAGTTTGAGTCCCATGCGAGTCCTGGCTATCCTATTACCATTAATCTCCTATACACAGAGCAGCATCTGCTCTATGGTCTTGGTTGTGATTTCAATTAAGCACCCAGAACGGGGCGAAAAAACCAAGTTATGAAGATAAATGTCACTCGTCAAGTGGCAATCAATTAGTTAATGCTTTCAGGGCTCAAGGGGCATAGTTTCCCCGGCTTGCCCGAAAAACTTCTGAGACTCTGCGCCCGAGTTCGTGTGTTTGTCACAGAAATTATTCAATTACCAAATTAAATTTAATGCCTTGTACTCGAAGGCGGGCGAAGGACGCAGCCAACTTGCTTTTGATCCCACTAAAAGCTTTAATAACTGTAAATTGCTTTCACAAATTTGTCTTCGAACGAGAAAAGCGGGAAAAGCTGGAAAAAGGGGGGCGTTTTGAAGGGCGGAATGGGCGGGGAAATAGGGAAAGAACCTGCCCGCATACCTGGGCAAACATTTTTCTCATTTCGGTGTCGCATCCCTCGCCCGTGACCAAATATTTAAAGGCATTCGACGTGAGCCGCACTCTGAGTTCGGAGTTCGAGTTCGATGGCAAAGGCAAAGGCCAAAACGAACCATTATCGACGTTTTTGTCCCCCTGAATTCCACATTAATGTCTCTATCTACCTGACGCCCAGCATCAGAAATCCAATTATATTCATTTTATGTACAAAAAGCTTCTGCAGCCGGTAAAGTGAATCCGTGAGCGAGGGACCCTCTGGCCCGAACCATTAACTAATGCCAAAATCCGCTTAAAAATTTAATTTTGTTCACCTTGTAAAAGGGCTGCCTGAAGGTAGGGTGAATCCGATTAGTTAGTCATCTGTTAGGTGCGTGAATTTAACTAAGTTGGCCCACAAAATACTTTTCATCGAGATGTTAATTTAAGCGAAGCTTTAAAGGCATTATTTGCATGTTTCTATAATTGTTCAATAAGTAGATTAGTTGGCCATTAAATAATTAATATGAATTATCTTATCATGGGTTTTCTTGGACTGTAATATTCCCAAACTACACACAAAATTATCGATTGACTTAATATTATCGACCTTAAATCATTTGCAGCAAAATCATTAATAATTATAAGAGAGGTTGCAAAAAAATCTCCTATTCCAAATTACATTCCTGGAAATTAATTACAATTAATCAATTACATTACCATCCTTATCTAATTCCTATCTATTTACTCATTATATTGGATTGGAATTTGGGCAACGGAATACCTCGAGGGTTAATTCATTAATTACTAAGCTTTTATTTGCTATTAAACTATATTATTGATTATTTTGTTGGAAACGAAAAAGTCTTAAAAAATGCTTTAACTATAATTAAAAATCTGACTTTCTGTCTGCCTTGAATATTTTATTTACATTTCAGAGAAGAGAATAACTTATTTTACTTGGCATATTTTTAGGCATCAATAAAAAATCACTGGAACAAATTTATGTGGTTGGTTGGACTAAATGTTAACTTATTTTTTATGTGGATGGTTGGACTAAATGTTATGTAATCTTCAAGTTTTTATTGATTTATTTTATTAAGTGGCTTTAGAACCGTACGATTATTATGTTATTATCTCTTTAAATTTAGTTTATGATCGATCGAAAGCTTTATGATACGATCAGTATAGTTTTGCTCTTTTAGAGAAATAAACAACTCGATGAGCTTTGGAAAAGCTTCGATAACGCCAACAATCAACTTATTTGTCTCTCTTTAACTTTTTAGTTGTCTTTATACCTTTAGCTGAGCCGGTTGCGTTTTAGCGGGAGAAGAAAATTGAGAAAAGTAATTTGTTTGTATAGTTTTTTTTTCACAAATTACTAATTAATTTATGTATTTTAGCCACTTAAATAATGTCGGCCAAACCCATTTTCTACTACGCCCCCCGCAGTCCACCATGCCGTGCTGTTCTCCTGACCGCCGCTGCTTTGGGTGTGAAGTTGGATTTACGGTGAGTTGTTGCCGGTCTCTCTTGAAAACCGGTCTACTTGGTGACAACTCTCTTCTTTAACCCACCACTTGACTTGAAGAACTGAAATACCCGTTTTGGTACACAAACACATATGTATAGACATTTTATTGCTTGGATGTTTCAACAACAGTATTCGTAGCCACTTATTAAAACTAGCAGATGGGAAACTTTTTTGAAAATCATGAGTTATTCAAAAAGTCCAACACTTAAGAATTAAATTCACCGTAAAAAAGTCGGCATCCAATATCAAATTATTATGATTTTTCAAGACTTTGAAGCTACAAATTTTAATCATTTTAAATAGTAAAATTATTTTTTGTAAAGTCAAGAACAGATCTTCAATGCATCCTAAAAACGTCAATATTATGTCTTTGCCTCTGTGGGTAAATAAAGATATTTCGTCTATCTAAACCGCTAGTGAAAGTAAAGTTTAAGCCACTATCTATGTATTTTTTTGGCCATGTTAAATGTTTGTTTCGAAATTGATAAGTAGATGTACTCGACTCTAGCGTTCCTCTTTGTTTTAATCTCTTTCCAGTCTAGTCAACGTAAAAGCTGGTGAGCACAAGTCCGAGGAGTTCCTCAAGATTAATCCCCAACATACGATTCCCGTGCTCGATGATAATGGCACCATCGTGAGCGATTCGCACATTATCTGTAGCTATTTGGCCGATAAGTATGCCCCGGAGGGTGATGACTCCCTGTACCCAAAGGATCCTGTCCAGCGTCGCCAGGTGGATGCCCGTCTGTACTACGACTGCGGTCATCTGTTCCCACGCATCCGATTCATCGTGGAGCCGGTGATCTATTTCGGAGTTGGAGAAGTGCCCGCCGACAGAGTGGAGTATCTCCAGAAGGCCTACGATGGCCTGGAGCACTGCCTGGCTGGAGGAGATTTCCTGGTGGGCAACCAACTGACCATCGCGGATCTCAGCTGCATCGCCTCGGTATCCACGGCGGAGGCCTTCGCTCCCATCAACGCGGACCAGTTCCCCCGTGTGGTTGAGTGGGTCAAGCGGGTGAAGGCTCTGCCCTACTACAAGGAGAACAACCAGGAGGGACTGGACATGCTGGTGGGATTGGTCAAGGGACTGCTGGCTGAACGCCAACAGAAGTGAGTTTAAGTACAGGGAGAATTTGATTTGTTTCACTATCAAAATGTGTTCCGCAAACTACACAGCATTTTTGCAATATACTCGTTTTTTATCTCTAATGGTGTCTTTTTCTTGACTTTTACTCAACAGTTGGAATCATGGGTTATTTCCATTAAAAAAGAATTTTGATTTGACCCTCCATTAGCAAAAATCTATCTTTCGATTACAACAAACGTTCTATCTCCGAAATTTATTGATTCCAAAAAGTGTTTTTCTAATTAACATTTTTTACGAGAAAATACTTATATTTATATAATTTGATATTTCAGGGGAGTATCAGGCTAAAAAGTAAATAAAATTTCTGAGAAGATAGCCTTTTTAAATAAACAAAATATTTTGTTGACCCGCATTTAATTGTGACTAAATCTGTTTTTTTATTGCTAAAGATAAATGATTGCTTAGATGTATTTTTACAAATTTGTACCTAATACTTTCATCATATTTGGTTCTTAAATTGAAATTTACTCACAATTTTTTTTTGAAAATAAAGTAGAGGGATTAAATCTTACATGATTCCAATAATAAAATATATTTAAATATGGAATTGAATTTTAAATTATATTAGTCATTTATTCAACTCTACGATTACGCTTCTTTTTTAGTATTCTCAAACGAAGAGCATTTTTTTCTGAGTAAATCCAAGTCGGGCAATCAATCAATACTTGGTGCAATAAAAACATGAGTTTCATTAGACAGCAGCCGAGAACGATGAATCAAGGCCGAACAGCAAACAATAATAGGAGATGCGATTCTGTGGGCGAGGGGGTGGCTGGTGGTCAAACAGGAGGTGGTGGTGGAGGTGGTGGTGGGGGTGAGACGGGAATAGGACCGGAGACAAGGACAGCGACGGCGACAGTTATGTGCAGCTGGTCGAAAAGTAATGGCAAAACTTTTTTATGGGGAAAAGCCGGCAAAAGCAGCAAAGGCAGCCAGTAACCTGAACTTGCTCATGGACTGTGTGTGAAATTCAAGCCAGAAAGTTTTCCTCGGACCGCTCGCCTCTCGGCCATTGTTGTTGTTTGTTTGGCTTGTTGGTATTTGGCTGTTCCCGTTATTGATTACAAGCTGTAAGTGATCGCATTTATAGTTGTTAAAGCTTCTTTGGCTTGTTGCGGCAAACTCTTGACTTTGGCCTTACCAACTTAAACGGAAATAAGACGAAAGACCACTGCCATAAAGTACTATCTAAAGTTTATTTAAACTTGGTCAAGTTTTCCGAAGGGGAAGTAAATTAATCTGTTTATTTACAATATCGTTTACGGGTTATACGAGTAGGTGTATTAAAAGGAAGAAAACTATTAGCTTTTGTATACAAATATTGATAGAATCTAAACATTTAAGTTTGAATAATACTCAAAAAACTTTATGAAGAGAAGTAAATCTATACGTTTAACTCTCTATTATTCTGCATTAACATTTTTGATTTAATTAATGGGATCATGTTTAACAAATTTTTTCGATGGTCCAATTCCTTAATTGTAAAAATTTTTTAACGACGTAATACATTTTTAAGGTATTTTCAAGTATTAAATAAATGAAAGCGTGGGTTGCTATATTCCAAATTTATATTATATTTACCTAATCAAGCATAAGATTTCCACAAAATGATTGTAAAAATGTATGCGTTTGTACATATACTGAAAATATACAAGAAAGGAAAGCTAACTTCGGGCGGAGCCGAAGTTGATATACCCTTGCAGAATATTATGTACATTATAGTCTCCAAAATTATTCATATGATGCATTCTTAATACTCATAAAAAATCCCAACTTCCTAACTTTAAAAACACCAAAGTTATGGTATTTCCAATCGTTCAGTTAAATGGCAGCTATAGGATATAGTCGGCCGATCCTTATGAAATTTGGTAGGTCGGATTGATTAACCAAATATAAAACCCATAGAAAATCCCAGCTTCCTAACTTTACAAACACCAAAGTTATGGAATTTCTGATCAATCAGTTATATGGCAGCTATAGGATATAGTCGGCCGATCCTTATGAAATTTGGTAGGTCGGATTGATTGGCCAAATATAACACGCATAGAAAATCCCAACTTCCTAACTTTACAAACAGCAAAGTTATGGCATTTCCGATCAATCAGTTATATGGCAGCTATAGGATATAGTCGGCCGATCCTTATGAAATTTGGTAGGTCGGATTGATCGGCCAAATATAACACGCATAGAAAATCCCAACTTCCTAACTTTACAAACAGCAAAGTTATGGCATTTCCGATCAATCAGTTATATGGCAGCTATAGGATATAGTCGGCCGATCTCGGCCGTTCCGACTTATATACTGCGTGCAAAGGAAAGAAGGGTGTGTGCAAAGTTTCAATTCGATAGCTTTAAAACTGAGAGACTAGTTTGCGTAGAAACAGACAGACGGACAGACGGACAGACGGACAGACGGACATGGCTATATCAACTCAGGAGGTGATCCTGATCAAGAATATATATACTTTATATGGTCGGAGATGTCTCCTTCACTGCGTTGCACACTTTTGACCAAAATTATAATACCCTCTGCAAGGGTATAAAAATTATATTTCAAAGTAAATCCTTTCCTCAAAGAAAACAAACATCAAAGTGGTTTGAAATGGAAATACATTTTTATCAGTACTTCATAAGTTATTCATCAAGGCTTTCACATAATTTTAAGTTTCTTTTTGTAGAGCCAAGAGTATATGTTGCAAAATGAAGTTGTTTTTTTATTACATTTTCACTTGATGCACCCGGAAATGGCTGACGACTTTGTGTTGCAAAACGTGATGTGACACTTCACTTTGCACTTATGGCCGCCAGTCAATGTCGATCAGAGGTGGTGACATGAGGCGACTTCAGTATCCACTATCCAGTATTCAGTAAGCAACAACCATCAGCCGCAGGGGACACTGGGTTCCGATTAAAGTGCAACACGGCGGGACAAAAGTTTCGCCACTGCTAAAAAGACAGGAGCAGCGGTCCGTGGAGCTGGATTTTGGCCACATTTTCATCATGCTTTTTTCACAGTTTTCAAATGCCATTAACTGTGCGGAATGGGATGGTTTCCGAGGGCTTTTACTTTTACTTTTTTTCCTCGCCCCTTTTTGTTAGAGTGTGTGTTTTTGGGATTAAAATTTAATGCCGCAAAAGGAAAAGGGCAACCTAAGCGCGTGCCAGGAGCGTTAAGTAAACCGGGGCCAAACTGTAGCTACTCATGATTAATGATGCCTTTTTCGGTGGCTCGCCGCCAGGACCCTCGCCCATTTCCGATTCGTTTAAAGTTGAAACGTCGTTGGCCATCTGTTTGCTGTTTGCTGTTTTCAGTCGGGGTCGCTCCATTGTTTGCTCTGCGGTTGCGGTTTGTTTAACAATGAAATTAACTTCCCACTAAGCCAAGCTCCTTTCTACAATTGCCAACAAAATTCAATATTTCTATAGAATTTCACATTGGCCCATGAACCCGGGATAATCAAACTAATTGGAATACACAAATCACAATGCAAATCACAATCTTTCCCGCTCCCTTTGGACTGTCAATATACCAAACAAAGCTAATCAACGTTAACGATTTGGAAGTTCGATATATAATTATGACATTTGGGCATTGGTTTCCAATTACAGCAGCCTATCTGTGGCGTCAGTGATGGTAAATGTTTTATATTTTAGTACCTAGTTAAGCCTACCCTTATGTATTTAGTTGAAGGAACACAATTTGCTTAGAAAAGTTAACGAAAAGTTTTGACTAAAGGGAGGATTTTAAAAGGTTTTCTGTTCTGTAATTCTTACATTATAATAATAATATTAATATATAACATTTTATATTTATATTTCTAAGAATTTTGATAAAATTAGATTTTCTTTTTCTATAAGAAATTTATAAGAAAGCACAGGATACATTTCCGACTATATAAAATATTTAATTAATTTTTATAATTTTTTCAATTGCAGCTTAAATATTACCGAAATGCAAAAATCCAAAGTTAATATAGGAACAATCAACAAATAAATAGATACAATGCATAGATCTCGATACATAGTAACTTAATACGATTTCAGAAATATGTTTTTACTTCATAATCGAACAACTAAAGCTGATATAAATACAATCGGTAAATTTATAATAACATTTTAAAAATCCGTTTTAAATTGAAGTAACATGCAGATATTTTTCAAGACGAAACTACCTTCCTCTCTCCAATCCAATTGAAGCATAATAAAATTGAAAATAATATTATACAATTTTATAAATTGACACTGGTGGAATAAGTGAATAAGGCCTTGGTCTTTATCGGCCTAAAGTGTCGATAAATAAGTGTTTGTAGTCAGGTAAATGGGTACAACTACATGGGTGGCTCCCATCACCGCAGTAAGCGGAGTTGGCCACTTGCCTCCGACATGATTCTGCTCTTGAGTTTGGACAGAGAGGCGGGATGGGGCCCTCGTGGGGAATTCATGTCTCCACTCAATGGCCGGACAAGAAGCGTTGATGGGCGCACTCCGTGTTCCGAGACCGTGTTCGATATCCGAGCTGTCATTTTCAATTCGATGTGTAGTCCGACACTTGCACTCAACAATCGACAAGGACATGCGGGCTGGAATCCCATAATACATAATGTTGGAGATGCCCACTTAAATGGTGGGTGTATACCCATCTAATCACCGGCCAATGAGACTAAATCTGTTTTGAAAAACTAACCCAACTAACCTGAAACGAGCGAGTGCATTTGTGAGAGGCGATTATCCCATTCAACTGGCCTGTCCGTCTGTCCAGCCGAGTGTCCTTTTCAGAAAGCCTGCTGCCTGGCTGGCTCCTGATAAACGGCAGCACAATCTTGTGGGCTTTTGTGCCGTGGCCTGCCATTCAAATGAGGTCAGGTCGCTGCGAGGGCATCCTGCGAGCGCCAGGACTCGAATCCCCGGTCCTCGATTCGATGCATGTTGATTAAGTGCTCGCAATTCGAATGCCTTCTGCTGACAGCAGCAACATTTGCATTTGCATAATTGGATATGTATGAACGCAGCAAAGTTGATCCGTAAATGCAGATTCCCAGCAGCCGAGTCCGAATGCAGAGCA